ACCTTAGTTCGACGTCTGAAATGCGAGAAGTCGCATAGAACCTAAGGGACTCTGCAAATACACTCCATGTTCCAGTACCGCGCACAAACCATTACAAACACCGCTTCAGCTATAGTGGCGCCATTCTCTGGAACCGTCTTCCTTGTAACTTAAGGGAAGCAGTGTCCCTTGGGATATTTAAACGATTACTCAAAGAACTGTAAGGCAAGGCATTCGTGGAGAGCAGCTTTTTTATTTAAATATTCTTATTATATTAGTATTAGGCATTTTTAAAGCTGACGAATTTTGTATCGTGGATAAATAAAGATTGTCTATCTATCTATCTATCTATCTATCTATCTATCTATCTATCTATCTATCTATCTATCTATCTATCTATCTATCAACTCTAAGTTGATATGGTATCAAATCTTGGCATGATCAGGCGCATTGCCCCATATAAATACGTCATTATTATTATTATTATTATTATTATTATTATTATTATTATCATCATCATCATGATTACTTACAAAAGTATGCGGCAAAAATGTACAAGATGAAATTCGTCGCAAATGTTGCAATTGCCAATAAAGGATATTTTAAAAACTGGTAGACCAGCGTTCGCATAATTTAATTAAATAACGAAATCCGAAGAAATTGTTGATTTTGTACTAGCCAGGTGACGTTAAATCTGGGGCATTACAGCGAGTTCCCCTCGTTTTGCGTGAACAGAGCCCATTTCGAGCCTCTAACACAAAGACAGAATGTTCGCTGCAAGAGGGTCAAACTTTGTAACTTTGTACAAGTTTGTACCGCAATCGAGAAGTCTAGCTTGTTGATATCTCGTCTGATTGACATTACACAAATGCCTCTGTACAAAAGATTAATGTGCATGTTGTACCTAGTTAAATACCCGGGGGGTCTCCATTATATGAGCCATACAGGTATGTGTCACCCTAAAGCGTATGGTTTTTGCGCGGACTGAAAACAGGTATAGACTTTGCCTATTTTAGTCTGGAATCGGATATGGTTTTAGAGGGAGGTATGGTAATGCATGAACACATTTATTGTTTCAAGTCCAAATGAATAGGAAAGAAAGACAAAAATGCGAATTCGAAGTGCATTTGAAGAAACGTTTTTTTTAAATTTATTTATTGCTGTTGTAATCTGAGTAATAATGACATAATTTATTACTGATAGAGGCCAGGTCTTAAAACGGTTATGGATTTTAAAAGCCAGGCCTGGAAACGGGTGTGAAAAATGGCAATTTTTTGGTCTGAAATAGGGTCATAATTTAGAGATTCGGGAGGCACACCCTCACCAAGAATTTCCAGGAGTACCCCCCGGGTTAAATAAAATGAACCTAAAAAACGGTAACATCATAGATTATCATTTTACTTGGTACAAATTAGCAATCTCGCATCTGTTTCTCGCCACCTTCCTTCTTTTTAGAAGTGGTTTGAACGACTGATTTGACTGTTGCCTTCATTTTCCCCAGCTAAAGAAAAATAAAACATTCAATCACTTTTTATAATAGGCACCCAGTTAACGCTAATCTCTAATTGGATTAGAGATAAATGTTTTGTGCAAAATCAAGGGATTTCTTCCAGCTGTTTTGCACACTTCTCGAATTGACTATACAGAGAAAGATGATCTGAACATGGTTATTGAAACTTACAGAAAAACTGATAGTAACTGTGCCGCCTGCCGCCTCAGATATTTGAGAGGAAAGATAATATCAAGACATTAATATTATAGGTGGAGTATAGAAAAGTCTAAAAGTCCGAGACCAAAATTTGACACAAAAAACAAGAAATGACTCTTTCACCATAGCAGGTTACAAACGTTTTTGGTAATATTATAAGTGGTATAATATAATTATTCTGGAAAGTGCTTGGTTACTCCTTCCCCTCCCCCTCCATATGAGCAATGATCTGGCAGTGATCCAAAACTAGGTATCAAATGGCGAAGGTAAGACAAGAAACCAGTGACTGAACATCGTCAATGTTAAAGCTGTTCACATGACGTATTTTGTGTTAGTGACGACAGAGCTCAATCCAAAAATGACGTGCTAATAGAAAGTGAGCCTTGTTCGCAGGCAGGGCAAAAACAGATGGTATCAAAACTCGTAAAGTCATGACTCACAACTTGTTTAACATGGCCATAGTTTTCCCACGAGGAAAAAATGCGACAAAAGTGCCATGGCATGAGAGTGTGAGGAGCATGTGGAGGAAAAGGACAAACGATGACGACCGTTGACGAGACCGATGAAGGAAATTGGTTGATATATTGCAAGTGTCAGTCTAACGACTATGAAAAGGCCTCGAACTGTGTGAAGTTGGTAGTAAGACTGACACTTGCAATGTTCCCAGATATATGTCGCAGCATTCTGGACGGTGGGCTTGAACACAGCAAGGTTCTGACTAATCATCAATGTTCTTTTTCTTAGTGTAGCACTTTGTAAAGGAGCCGTAAGAATGCAAGTATAAGTTGACAACGTCACACAACTTCATAATGCGCAAAAAATTGAGCAAAATCAAAAGAAAGTACCGTATATCTAGGAAACGCTGAAAGGAAGGCTGGGTCTACCAATGATAGTAATAGTGATTAATAACAATTCAATTATATTTTGCGCGCAAAATAAAATGCAAATATGATCAAATGCGCCTTACATGACGGGGGAAAGGGTGAGGTACAGAAAAAAAAATGAGGGAATACATACATTCAAACGTGACTCTTCTTCTGGTTTGCCATCGCTGGAAATTGAAGGCGTTACAGATCCTGTATCCTCTCCACGCAGCTTAAGTTTCCTCCATATGTCGCCAGGGTCAGTGTATCTCGTGACCTGTAGTGAACGTACACAAAATCATTCCTCAGATCTTGATAAAGTGTAGATTCGTTGTCATGTCAGGGACAGAATCCAGAGGCGATCAGACTTGCTAACGCTGAGAAAGAGAGCTGGTAACATCTTTGGGTTACTAGGCCAACTGAATGAATGACTGATTGCTTGCTTGATTGATTGATTGATTGATTGATTGATTGATTGATTGATTGGTTGAATTGATTGATTGATTGATTGATTAAACGAATGAATAAATGCATGAATGAGGGAAGGAAGGGAGAAAGGAGTAGATGGATGGATGAATGCGGAGATGAATGAATGAAGGAACGAAAGAACGAATCAATAATTGAATGCCAATGAATTGGTCATGTTCATGGAAAGATTCAGCAAATGAAGGATTAAGGCAAAGGATACCGATCATTAAGGAAAGAAGACAACAATTTTTTCTTTTAAACAATAAATAATCGGCTTTATCCACCTTTTTACCGTCTCTTGGTTTGCTCTGACCCACTGGATCCGCTGACATTGCTGTCTTCTGGCGGCGATCAGGCTGCAAGTTAAAGGAGTAGTTAACGTTGTTTCAAGGCTAAATTAAGCTGTTATACGGAGGATAATATATAATTATTATATTACTATATAATTATTCGATCTTGGTAAGACTGCTATGCAATCCCAGTTTTTCCGAGATAGATAAAACTTGAAACAGATGAGATGCGGACGGTTTCATCCCGTTTCCCGACGCCGAAAAGTAAATAACAAAACGACGAGACGCAGCTGAGTTGTTTTTAGCAAAGTGCCTGGAAATCGGGGAAAACATTGAGGCTATATTCACACGGCAGCGGACTCTGAATTTTCGACCGGCTGAAAAATCTGACCGGACAATTCGTTCTAACGAAACAGTTCAAGAATTTCGCTATGTTCACGCGGAGCTGACGAATTAATTTTAACTTTTGTCAGAGGTTTTACCCTCTGCCCATGCGCAGAGCGCTACTACAGCAAATCAAGGAGGCGTCGCCTATCTTAGTTACTACGCATCCAAGTAATCGCACCTTTCCCGTACAAAGTGGTAGACGGTTATGGCGTTTAAGAGTCCGCCTACCGGACTTGTTCTTTCCTTTTTTTAATTGAACAGTACCTAACAGTATAAATGCTGACTAAAATAGAGTTAAAGTAAAACCGTTAATTTGGAACGTTAGCCAGTAACATAAATACATGCCGGGGTAAAGAGATATCTCCACAGTTTGTCCAATTGGTCGACCTGGCTTTGTCTGCCCCTTTGATATGATTGCAGCTTGTCAAATTCCTTCTTTTCCTCCTCAGACATCTCCTCCTGGGTAGATTCCAGAACCTTGACTCTGTGGACCAGTTCATTATGTTCAGCCCTGAGCCCGTGGTAGGCAAGGTCATAGAAGTCTTTCCTTAAGCCTTCGCTACATTTACCGGCCTTTTTAACCACTCCTAAAGCCTCCGTGTAAAGCTCTTGTAACCGCTCGCTAAGTTTTGTCAGTATATCAAGTTTTACAGCTGTTGGTACTTGATCTTGTTTTACTTCTTGTACTTGAAGAGGGGATGTAACGTATATGTGAAGCTGTTCGTTGATGTTTCTTAATCGAACTTCCATGCGATGCTCTCGATCTTTAGCTAATTGAACTGTATCCGTAGAGGGATCACCTTCCTGCATTGATTAAAAGCAGAAATTTGTAAGAATTGGGATACTGAGATGCTTAATTTGTGCTTCTGTAATCTTCTTTAAGGTCCATGCAAAAGGGCCACGAGGATTCTATTTCTATTACCCGTTTATTATTAGTGGTTTCTTTAGGTCCGATTTCCCTAAAAATGAGCGCAACAAAACAGAAGTACTAATAACATTTTCCAGAGTTCGTTTCACATGAAAAGTGCCGCAGCGTTTCGCGGAGCTGTTTTTTTAGTAGACTGTTTCCTCACCTGTTGTTCGTTTATCTCATCATGGCCCTTTTGCTTAGCAGTTGAAAGCTCCTCTTCTGATCCCTTAATTCTAGTGATCAGCTGTGAAACCTGCAAGACCAAGAAGCAACGAAAGTCATTCAACCGTGTTGGGGGTAATGGTTAAGTCACGCAGTTGTTATAAGTCTATCATTCTAATACCTTACACTAAACATTTATAAGGCCACGTTTGTGTGGGGTAAACTGAACTCGGGTTCAAGGATCACTCACCTGCCAGAGCTACCCTGGGCGCGAGTCAAACAGTTCCCCAGTTTCCTTTCAAAACTTATTTGGTGAATCGTTTTTCCGATGGTAGGCTAACCTAACTTTGGCTCTTCCAGTCCGGCGAACTCTATCAAGGTGAGACTATCAGAGCGTGCACAAGCGCTCTTGGCTCGGGCAAAAGGGTAAACGTTTTTCTCATATGAACGTTCACTAGCATTTACTCGGCTTGGAGGGTGTGATCCTCTTTCCGGGACAACTTAGTCCCCATATGAACAGGTCCTGAGACGCACTACAGGTTTACAATCATTACACGACAATAATTGCTGACTTACTTCTTCCTCTTTCTCTTGAGACGTTTGCCTTTTTGAAGTTAAAAGCTGTTCTTCTAACTGTTCAGATTTGTTGCCCGTTCTCAAAACCTGCTCAACGTGTAAAGGAAATGGGAAAAAAAGATTCTTTTTTGACTAAACATTACACAGCAAAATATAGCACAATTAGCTGAGTGCTTTCATGCATACCTGGCTAACCTCCTGTTCACGTTCTCCTCTATTTTTAAATTCTACTGTGGCAGGCAATTGCTGGTTCTGTTATCATACAAAACAAAAACATGAACAAATTTAAATGAGTATTTTCTTCAGTAATCTGTTCTGGTAATTTATGTGAGTTATCCATCCTTAATCTCTAACGTCCAAAAAAACCTTCAGCTAACAAAAATGGAACAAGTACGAAGTCAGAGTGGGGCTGAAGTAAAGTTGTGAACTTGGAAAATGAAATAATTCCTCCACGACAAGAATCTTTTATTTCTCTTGTTCTCGAATACTCTGTGTTGATCAGATCCAAGAAAACAGTAGCAGGTAATTTTATGTACATCACGTAGAGAAATATAAAAATGGGAATATAAAATGTTGTTAAGAGAAATAATATTTCTCTCATAACTTGCCTAAAACGTACTCCCTTTTATACCCTTCTGCTATCGGAAAGAGGCAACTATGATAAAGTGTGCAAGCGTGGTTCATAATAAACCCAAAATTGACATTGTACAACCTTACCTCTTCTTCTAGTTCTTCAATCCTGGCGCTCATTATGGAGCCCTATTTTGTCAAAATGAAGCGAAGGTTAGCGTGTCAAAAACAAGAGGCAACTATGATTAAGTGTGCATGCGTGGTTCTTAATAAACCAACATTGACATTGTACAACCTTACCTCTTCTTCTAGTTCTTCAATCCTGGCGCTCATTATGGAACCCTATTTTGTCAAAATGAAGCGAAGGTTAGCGTGTCAAAAACAAGAGGCAACTATGATTAAGTGTGCATGCGTGGTTCTTAATAAACCAACATTGACATTGTACAACCTTACCTCTTCTTCTAGTTCTTTAATCCTGGCGCTTATTATGGAACCCTATTTTGGCAAAAAGAAGCGAAGGTTAGCGTCCCAATAACAAGTATTCCTTTTTAAGCACTACTATGATGTTTTCTAGACTGCGAGCAGTCTCTTATTTTTCTTTGCAAAGTCTCGTCTCAATCCCTAAATAATAACATTGTGGTTTTCAATCGCGCTGGATAAGATAAGAACTGGACGGACTTTAAGAGAAAAGGCGGACTGCAAGCAGTCTAGATGTTTTTATACATTATTACCTTTGCTTCTAAGCTGACCAACTGACTTTTCATCTCACGAATTTCCCTCTCAAATGCGTTGATCTAAAATAAAAAACAAAAAAATTTATATGAAAAGTAAAAATTGTAGCTATACGACATACTTCGTTTTTAGCAAATGAGTTGCAATTGTCGAATGCAGTTGGTCGCAGATCTTGAGTACGTAATACTGTACACCATATAATATATAACATAGCAAAATATCCTTTTTGTCAAACGAATGCCGATCTATAACGATAGTTATCCGATTTCTTTCACTAAAAAAAGTTGACGTCATTCCTTTTTTTAATATTGTTCCTCTTTTTGGGAGCAAAAGTGTAATGATCCTAGCTGAATTTTGGAGCAAATGGAGCTTTTTATATGAGCTAATAAAAGTAGTATGACAGAACACTTAATCTATCTTAAGAATTATATGAACGGTGCTACAAAGAGCAGTTAACGGTTTTGACTACAGCCTCGACTCCAGAGTTAATGTTTGCTTTTCTAGTTCAAATTTTGTAATCCCTGAAAACAACAATCAGGAAATTCGAAAACAAACCCTGAAGCATTACTGTAGTTCAACTGGAATGACGTCATCGTCTATATAAAGGTGCAGTAGAAGTAATCGTTAACTTAAACTACAATGCAGGGACCGCGGAGGGGGAGGGGCTGGTAGGGCCGCGGCCCCGCCACTTTTTTGCGTCCCCGCCCCCACTTTTTGCGATAAAAAGAAAAATAGTTAAAATAAAAAAAGGCTTGAAACAAGTTTTTTCCGTCTATATTCCGATATATTCTCTGTATTTTCTTTAATTTCAAACGTCAGGCATTTTGTGGGGCTCCTGTGCTTTTCGCGGTAATTGTGCCCCGGGGCCGACTTGCCCCTTGACCAAACGCCATACCTTGGCCACCCCTTCGCTTCGTTCGGCAGCGTGTTTTGTACTTCCAGCTCCGGCAGAGTGTTTTTTATCAGTTTTATCAGACGAAATGAAGAAAATTACTAGCTTTTTCAAGCCAAACGAGGCTGAGTAGTTGTTTTGAGTTGATAAAAGTTTTATATTTTGTCTTTCTCCTTTCGAATCAAGGAAATATTCGATGGCAAGAAGAATTACATTACTTGAACAGTGAACGGCCATAGTTAGAAATTTTTTAGATCACTTAAGTGTAGTATTTTCTATACTATACATAAATAATACGAGATCTCGCTGATACTCGCGCGAGATAAACGAGATGTCGTCAAGAATGCCGACCTATAAAGAGCAACAAATACTGGATAAAGTATGCAGAGTCACGCGACAGAAACAAATCAAATACTATGATTTTATTCCTTTTTTCGATTTTCAATATGAAAAAAATATTTTCAATTGTCAGCCCTCCCACTTTTCACCTTGCTCCGCGGTCCCTGCAATGACCTTTAATCGGCCACGTTGTTTGTTTTAAGGTTTTTATTTGTCTATACAAGACGAAAATAATAGCTTTTCTCTGATTCGTTTAGTTTTATTAGTAGTCGATTAATGCAAGTTGATTTAGTAGCATACTTACCTGGCTTGGATCTATTGGGTATATCAAAATGTCAGCCAGGTTTTTAAGTCCTATTCTCCTTAAAGCATCAGCTAATCTTGCGGCAGTAGCTTCGTCTCCCTCCATTCATCCATTCATCCATAGCACAAGAACCTTTATACAGCATTCCTTTGGACAGTGACATTTTTCCTCTTCAATTGCGTCAATATGTGGTTCAAAGTACCCAAGGGATCGTGCAAGGTCTTTCTATTTAATACCAATGCCGTAGGGAAGCTTATAATTGTGTATGTCAGACTCACTCATCTTATGATTCGGACTCAAGCCTAGTAGGGGTGAATTGGCTGAAAATGAAACGAAACCGAACTATTAGCTCTCAGCTAAGCGCGCCTTTTTGAGTATTTCAATCTATAAATTGTCAAAATACCCCTCACTCTCAACAAATCTAAAGGCTAATTGATAAAAAAATTATTTTGTTTTTGGTAATACAGTAAGGTAAGGAAACCCCCACAACTAAGAACACTAATTTTAAGAACCTGTCGGACTAAAGTTTGCCATTTAAGGCCCCTCTATGTAAGAACCTGTTTAGCCTAAAATTTGAAACAGGTTCTTATGTTTTTAAAACTATGAAAAGGCTCTGTACATTAAATTAAGCCAAATAAGATAAGTCAACATTCAAAATCCTTTTTGGAGACAGACAGAGGTGCCTTATCTCTCCAACTGTGTAAGTGCCAGTGTTTAAATCAAATATAATTACAAATTAAATACTGTTCTTCTTTTTATGTTTATTTTCACTCAAATGCTAATTTGGTATGCAGATCTTATGGATAAGGAATAAGCTAAACAAGTAAATAGTCTTAGCTATAATGTATTTTTTCTTCAGAAAATAGTAACAAGTTATTTTAATAAGAATCTAAAAAGCCTACGCTTGCGCTAACTAACAGTGTATAAGACCATATAAGAACCTGACTGTTTAGGCTAACTTGGAACTTGAAAATCTAGTTTCTTAGACGTGGGGTTTTGCTGTACACGTATATTAAACACTGGTAAGTTTTCGGCTAAACAATCTTGGTCAAATCTTGGCCAAACAATCTTGGTCAATGCCACCAGAGAGGTGATATTTATTATAGTTCTAATAATTAACAAAGCACATTTCAGTATGTGGAAGGCCTAGAGTGATTTTACTTAATCCGTGAAATAGGTATATAATACTACGAACTATTATCCACTAATTCCAAGATTGTCTTCTTTTGTTCAAGTAGCTATTTTGCAGTAGTTGTTAGTATAATTTTAGGGGTCAAGTAAAATCACTCTTAACATTAGAATTCTAAAGTAATATATGTTATTGACAAGCCCGAGGTCAAGGTGTCTGGATATTGGCCAAGTTCCTAAGCTATGTAGTAAATATATTTATATCCCAGTGTTAATGGTAGTCAAAAATTATTCACTTCATGTAGTCTAGTGGATAATTGTAAATATCAAAGGAGGATACGGCTAGTTAAGGTGACCTGAATTCTATACAACTGAGGTTCAAAGAGTGTACTTAAATATCGATAAATAAACTGTTGAGTTATTTTAAGGGTCACTGATTAATCTATATTAAAGTATCTGAGCACGCGAAAACATTCTCGCAAGTGCTTTCAAGCATAGCTGATGGTGTGAAGTAGTTTTGTTATGCCGTCATTTAGGGGGTTTAAACACTCAGACGGGAATTTATTTTGAGTAAAATTGGCCGAAATGCCATTTATACGAAGATTAAGCAGACCAAATGAATTACTGAAAATCTGATAAAGGAACTAAGGACATAAACTATAAGGATAGGGCACTTAAATCTTTTGCAAAAAGCGTTAATAGTTGCATTTTGTAAAACACTTTTTTAGACAGGAAGTCCAAGTGCAGCACAACCAATCAAAACCACCAGAAGGAGTTTGCAGCATTTACCTCCATGAAAAATGAACTGTAAATATAATCGTTTTAGTCAGAACCGACCGAATCTAAACTCAACCCATTTGCGAAGAGGCAAACGTAGAGGCATGTAAATAATAATAACTGTATTTTGCATCGAGTAGTTGGTTATTATGCTGTAACTGGAGTGCCGGTCCCTTTCAGCGAAATACTGGAGGCTTGAGTTGTCCCAGTTAAAGCAAATTTGGACACAAAATTGCAAAGCTAAATAAATTCTCAAGTGACAGCCTGACACATTCCGTTTTCAAGGGTACTGGCTTACACCCGGAAATTAAAAATGAAAATCGGTGCGATCGATGACATGAAAAC